TTCAATTCCCAGAATTCCCCAGCTGGCATGCTTTTAAGATGGACTTCAGCTCCCAGAATTACCCAACCTGAAACTCTACACAACCAACCAGAAGCAGAAAAAATAAACGTTTTATTTTGAATCTTTACACAGCCAGAGTTTGGGTTGAGTGAGAACAATATGAGAAATCTGAGCTGCGCTAGCGATCCCAGAATATTACATTTCAACCACGTCTATTGGTCCCATCCCCAAACAACACCCCCCCCCCCCTTTAAAAAAAAAAATACAAAAGGCTCCTGGGCCATCGATACGGATGAACATCCTGGGCCTCCCAGATACATAAGCCACAATTCCCTTATTCCCAAGCCAGGGAAGCTAAGCAGGTATGTTGACTGGAGATTAAGAATGTTCTAGTCCTCCTCCTCCTCCTCTTAAAAAAACAGCATCGGGTTCAAGCAACTCCACCACCACCACAAGATTATCAACAGGGAGAAAAGAGGCACCTCCAATAATAACCAGCCCCCGCCAAAAAACAAAACAAAAAAACAACCTTATGCATTTCTGCTTTTTGAATTAACAAGATACCTAATTTGGAATCTTCCTTTAGAGTAGAAATCTAGTTCCAAACCCACTGATCTTATCCTCTTTCCACTGCTTAGGCACCCCCTTCCATGACATGCTCAGGGTGAAAATAAAAAGTCCAAATATAAAATACTTATTTTGGATTTCCGACAGCCGAGAAATGCTTCGCGGCTTTCAAAGCAACCCAGCCTGCTGTGGCACGTGGCCCACCTTCCCTGTAGCCTTAGGAGGGTTATGCTTCCCCCTAAGGTCAACGTGATCTTTGGATTAGGGGAGTTGGCCTTACGGGCACACCTGGAGTGCCAAAGAACCGCATCCTTATTTAAAGCTGGCTTGCCTGGAGAAAGGCAAGATGGAGAATTGGACACGCTGGGTAAGAATCCGTGGCACTTCCTTCGTGTCACACTTTCTGGCCACGCCAACCCAACAGCAGCCGGTTTCATCCCCTTCTTCCCTTATTTCTTCTTTTTCTTGCCCCATTTCGCCCAGCGCTGGCCACCTCCACCGCCTCCTTCTCTCCTCTTCTCCCAGGTGGGCATGGGAGCCTCGATTTCGTTCGGGCGTCCTCCCCGGTCTGGCACGCTGCCCTTCATCAAGACCTGTGGGAGGGAAGGAGGGAGGGAGGGAGGAGACAGAAGGGAGAAGGGAAAGGGAGAGGAAGGGAAAGAGAAAAGAAAGGGAAGGGAAGAGAGGAGAGAGGTAACAGAAGGAAGGAAGTAAAGAGGAAGGGAAGACAGGAGAGGAAAAAGGAAGGAAGCAGACAGAAGGGAAAAGGGAAAGGATGTAGAGGGGACAGTAGAGGAAGGAAAAGAAGTAAAGATGGATGGGAGGGAGGAGAGAGGGAGAAAAAGGAAGGAAGGAGAGAGAAGGGAAAAGAAAAGAAAGGTAAAGGGAAGGGAAGGGAAAAGAAGAGGGAGGGAGGAAGGGGAAGGGAAGACAGGAGAGAGAGGGAAAAGGAAGGAAGGAAGGAAGGAATGATGAAAGAAAGAAAGAAAGAAAGAAAGAAAGAAAGAAAGAAAGAAAGAAAGAAAGGAAAGCTGAAAGGAGAGGACACCAGCATCCTCCCTCCTCAGCCTCTCCATCCCAAGAATCAACTCCTTTCAGGAGGCAAAGCTGTAGGTGTAAAATCCGGGTTTTGCTAGGCCAAACGACAGTCTGTTGAGTGAACCTGCCATTGGGCCAAGCCGTGAAGCCCCCCCGGGGGCTCCCTCTCCCTCCCTCCTTCCACCTCCAGCTGTTTGGTGGCCTGGATGTCCCCTCCAGCTCATACCTTGTTGATAGCACAACTGGTCTTCCTCCGCAAGGCCTCGCTGCTGGTCTTCACGATCCGAGAAAAGTCCTCCCGGGCAGCCAGCAGGTGGGAAAGGCAGAGCTGGGAATTCTCCGGCAAAGACTGCCGTAAAGGTTGGAAGGCTTCGGACATGGCGGTGCTTCGGTTCTGGCGGGGGACGAGAGAGGAGACAAACGGGCAAGGCTTCTGAGACGGCTGCGCTCCCCCTCCCCCAACTCCAGCTTGGTCTAATGGTTAAGGCGCTAGACTAGAAAGAGGAGGAAGATGGTTTAGTCTTAGGCACGGAAGCTGACTTTGGGCGACTTTGGGCCAATCACCAGGAGAGAGTGAGTTCTAGTCCCACCTTAGGTATGAAAGCTGGCTGTGTGACTTTGGGCCAATCACCAGGAGACGGTGAGTTCTAGTTCAGTCTTAGAGATGAAAGCTGGATGGGCGACTTTGAGCCAATCACTAGGAGACAATGAGTTCTAGTCCCACCTTAAGTAAAGCCGGCTGGGTGACTTTGGGCCAATCACTAGGAGATTGGGAGTTCTAGTTTGGTCTTAGATATGAAAACCAGGTGGGCAACTTTGGGCCAATCACCAGGTGACGGTGAGTTTCCGTCCTGCCTTAAGCAAGCAAGCCAGCTGGGTGACATTGGGCCACTCATTCTCAGCCCAAGCCCACTTCACAGGGTGGTTGTTGTGGGGAAAATAGGAGGAGGAAAGTTTGCTGGATACATTCGCCGGCCCAAGTTATTAAAAAGTAATAAACATGGGATATGAATTAATGAATTGAGTTAGTTATTTACTTTGTTATTTCATTAATTATTTATTTACTTAGTTCATTTGTTATTTAGTTATTTAATTTAGTTATTTACTTTGTTAGTTATTTACTTAGTTTATTTAGTTATTTAGTTATTTACTTTGTTTCATTATTTACTTAGTTCATTTCTTATTTAGTTATTTACTTTGTTATTTAGTTATTTATTAGTTAGTTTCAGAATGAAATCAATGCTGCTAGTTCAACAGCTCCCGGAATGTACCTTGGCTCTCTCAGACCAATGGAAGGATGCAACGGTGACGTCGAAACGGGTCAGCATCATGTGTCTTCGGCACTGGTATTCGGCCCCCAGCACTTGCTTGATCTGGTCCAGTGCTTTCTGGTATTTTAAGGAGAGCGAAAAGGGGAAGCAGAGATGTTTAAGGTCCATCAGCGCCAAACCAGAAAGCCCACCCGCCTTCTCCTCTCCTGCCATCTCTAGTGGCCCTCCTACCCATTGCTCAGAGGTCAGCGGGGCCTTCAGGAGCGGTGCTGTCCACTGGGGCTCAAGCCCCTGTGCAGCGGTGAGGGCCTCCGAAACCTGAAGGAAGCAAGGAGTTAGCGTTTCGTAGCTTGGCGAAGAGAAAGAGGCAGATAATACCACCATTATTAACCCAATAATACCGCTTGATAAAGCCTTGGTTAAGACCACGCTTGGAATACTGCATCCAGCTTCGGTCGCCACGAGGTAAAAGATGTAGACTCTAGATCGGGGTGTCGGGTCTCACCTGGGATCCAATGTCATCCATAACCTGAGCCACAGGGGAAGCCGGGTCTGGCTCAGGCATCCCCAGGACGTGGCAGATCTGATGAAGTTCTCGCACTGCTTCGTTATTTTTGTCGTCTTGCTTTGCTGATTGGAGTGTTTTCCTGGCCTGGAGCCGGGCAGCCATCAGCTCCGAGCTCAAAAAATCTGGGATGGATGGATGGAAGGAAGGAAGGAAGGGAGAGATGGAGGGGGGGAAAAAGGAACATTTTGCTGCTTCTTAGTATGTTTCCCCACACCCCCATTGCATGTTTAAATATGTTTGAGGCTATGTTTTTTCCCCACTTGCAATGTATGGCTGTGAAAGCTGGATCATAAGGAAGGCCGAGTGCCAAAGAATGGAGGCCTTTGAACTTGGGGGCTGGAGGAGGAGATTCCTGCGAGTCCCTTGGACTGCAAGGCCATCCAACCGGTCAGTCCTAGAGGAGATCCACCCTGGCTGCTCTTTAGAAGGCCAGATCCTGAAGATGAAACTCAAAGACTTTGGCCACCTAATCAGAAGTAAGAGGAAGGAGGAAGAGGAGGAAGAAGGAGGAGAAGGAGGAAGAGAAGGAGGAAGACAGGAGGAGGAGGAGGAGGAGGAGGAGGAGGAGGAGGAGAATATTTTATTATCCAACTGGGTAACATTATCATTGCTAGAAGAATGTGGGGTCTGAGGAGGAGGAGGAGGGTTGCTGTTCACAAGCCACGATTAAGCTAGCTATGGTGTTAGTGTGATGCCCCAATTCTCTCTCTCTACTTACAGAGAAGCTGCAGGCAGTGGTCTTGGGTGCTGAGTCTAGCCAGGACGTCCCCTGTGGTCAGTGAAGGATACGGGCAATGCAGCTCACCCAGGAGGCCACTTATTTCAATCTGAAATGTCTCGGCATCCTCAGGTCCTGATAGGATGAAATGGCTTAGAGTTGTTTAGGATCAGAATGATTTAATTGGAAAAAAAAAGAGGTTTCTATCATCTCCCCTTTAGCCTCTGCTCACTTTTAACCTTTCCAAGTTGCTCGTTTCTAGCTCGTCTTCCATTCCATTCCCCTTCCTCCCCTTTCCTTCCTTCTCCTTCCTTTTCCCTTCCCTTCTTCCTTCCTTCCCTTCCTTCCTTTCTTCCCTTCCCCTTCCATCCCTTTCCTTCCTTCCATTTCCCTTCCCTTCTTCTCTTCCTTCCTCTTCCATCCCTTTCCTTCCTTCCTCTTCCCTTCTTTTCCTTCCCCTTCCATCCCTTCCCTTCCTTCCTCTTCCCTTCCCTTCCTTGCCACCTTCCTTTCTTTCCTTCCCTTCTTCCTTCCCCTTCCATCCCTTTTCCTTCCCCTTCCTTCCCCTTCCTTTCCTCCCTTCCTCTTCCCTTCCTCTCCCTTCCTTGCCACCTTCCTTATTTCCTTTCCCTCTTTTCTTTTCTTTCCTTCCCTTCCCCTTCCATCCCTTTCCTTCCTTCCATTTCCCTTCCCTTCTTCTCTTCCTTCCTCTTCCATCCCTTCCCTTCCTTCCTCTTCCCTTCCCCGCCACCTTCCTTTCTTTCCTTCACTTCTTCCTTTCTCCTTCCATCCCTTTTCCTTCCCCTTCCTTCCCTTTCCTTC